AGAGCATAAAGATGCTGTCAGTCTCTTTTAATGAATTCACCTTTTCATTGTTAGCAAGTGGAAGCATAGCAGCTTTTCAAAGATGAAGTAGTTAATCATACACAATTCAGCATTATCTATCATTATGAATTTGTAGTAATGCACAATCAACCTGCGCACTGTGCAATTCATTTAAGGGAGCAGCTGGGATAGAAAGGTGTTTAACGTATTTATAACTTTTCATATCTGTTACGTGTTTGTAGAACTGGAAAAGCATACTAACCATACTGATAATTCTATTTAATTTTTTTTCTTGGGTGTGCTTCAAAACTTATTGAAATTTGGTCACTTGGAGGAATAATATAGAAAGCCAATCCATAAACATGTCAACATCCTCCCTAAAGCTCAATCAAAAGGAGACCTTATTTATAAATTTCTCCTGTTAGCTTCTTACAAAATACACTCAGTACAGACATAACAAATGGCTTCTTCTTTGGTTTACTGGGTTTTAGGTCATTGGGGGACAATTTTGGTGATGTTTTTATTTTGGATGGTAATCTAATAAACACAATACTGCAGTTAACTTCATTTTTGATTTAGTTAAGTATTTATCATTAATTTATTCATTTAGTTGATCAGTATGCATTTTTTAAACACCTAATATGCACAAGACACTGAACTACAGGCAAAGACATTATAAAGATAAATAGTATACTGGCTTGAATTCAAAGGACTCAGGTGGAGATACATTAAAAAAAAGGCAATTACACTATGGTTGATAAGTACTATGATAAATATGTCTTGAGGAGTATAACAGATGGTTTCCAATCCCAGCAAAGACTTCTTGAAAGAAGTGAGATAAAAGCATGAATTAGTAGATGAATAGGAACTTGCCATATGAAGGCAGATAGAGAGTAGGAGTAGAGATTAACCAAGTTGGTAAAAAGGCATTTCAGAAATTGGAAAGAGAAGAAGAAAAGGTGGAGAGGCAATAAACAGGTTTGTCTTGTGTTCAGGGTCAAAAAGTAGTTTGGGGTAACTGGACAATTAAATGTTAGGCATGAGTAGTAACAGCTGAGAACCAAGAGCACTGAACAGGAACCAGGTGGTGGGATATTGTTCATCCTCTGAAGAACTCACACTTTTAAACTGTGGGCATTAGAGAGACAAGGAAATATTTTGAGAATGGTGATTATGTGGTTGACTTTCCATGACATTGATAACTTGGATGTATATGCAAGTATGTGGATCCGTATATTTGCAGGGAAGAAAATTGGAAGAAAAAGGACCTGCTAAGACATTCCTATTGTTCAGGTGAGAAATGAAGTAGGCACAATCTAGGTATGACAGAACTTGATTATGGTTGGATAAAGCATGAGAAAGATCAAAAAATCAAAGGTATTTTCAAAGTTTCTAATGTGAGTATGGGGGGCTGGTGATACATCAGCTAAATAGAGAATATGAGAGACTAAGAATATTTGAAGTATAAAATGAATTCAATTTTTGGCATGTTGGAATTTGTGGTATCTCTGATATATTCAGAGAGTGGTCTAGTGAACAGTTGGATATACAAATCTGAAATTCAAGGATAGATGATGTACATTTGGGACTCATCAACATACTGGTGGTTGTTGAAACCATGCACAGCAAAATTGAATGAAATGAGAAGTACAATGAAAACAGATTAATTACATCTAGCAATAGCACCTTCTATTTCTGGTCAATGCTCATATCTGTCAACATCCTTGTCATCTTTCTTCATTTATGGACAACACTGGCACATGGCTCATTTTCCTCCTCTCCAGTAAAGGCTGACCGTCATTACAGATGGTTCATCTAACCCTCTAATCTCAGTTCCTTGATCATCTTTGATGTCCTTCGCCAACTCTTAGCTTCAGGAATTCACATCCACACACCTATAGCTTGTCCTCCACTGTTACGTTTCAAAACAATTAGGCTTAGGTCTATTTTATGAATATAGATTTCTAATTCGCTCACACTGATGTTTCCACTGTTGTTTGTTAACCTGAGACTTCTAATATTCCCTCCTCTTACTACTATGTTACTTTCTACTCTTACACTCTACCATATTCTCATTATTGGTCCTTCTATCTTTTAATTGTTCTATGTACCTCAGGATCTACCATTTCAATCATTATCTTGCCAATAATCTAAAATCATCTGCCTTATTATCCTTTTTTACATGGGTTTAACAATCTGCCACTGAGTCCAATTGGGTTTGTTTTATTTATTTAGTAAACATGTGACATTTATATAAGTTACTATATCTAAGAACATCACAATTTTTAACCATTTTAATTCTCCTAAAAACCATGGAGATAGGCACATGCAGGATGTTTCCTGCAAGAGAAACTCACACCATTATACAAGTTTATGATCCCCAACCTGGAACACAAAATTTTTCCCTTTTGGGGGTGCTCTCTCTGGAAAAATCAACCACCATGCTGTGAGAAAGGTTAAACTCCCGTGGGGCAAGAATATTTCGAGAGGCCAGCATGAAGAAAAACAAAGCTTACCAGCCCACACAGCATCGACCACCAGACATGTGAATTAAGGGAACAAGCCTTCAGATGATTGTAGCCTCTAGTCTAGCCTCTGAACTATCTAGCTGAAACCTCAGGCATCGTGGAGCAAAGACATGCCTTTTTTGCTTCAATAACAAGTTTATTGCTAAATCCAGCAAATATCTTTCAAGCCTTAATTTTACTTGATTCTTTGAGATGTTTAACACTGTTGACCAAATCCTTCATCTTTAAATATTGTCTTAATTATGTATGTATATCACTACATCCTCTGATTTTTACTTGCACCTTTATAGTCATTCCTTATCAGTCTCCAATGAGAGTTCCTCTGCCCTTTCCTTTCCTTAAGGCCCTGTCCTAGGCCTTGTTTGAGCGAGTGGTCCTCAATCATGAGTACCCAGTTGAGAACAACTACTGTGGGTGACCTTATTCACTTCCATGGCTTCAAGAGTTCCTAAATGCCAATATCTCCTAAATATATATTTAGTCCAGATGTTTCTTCTGTGCTTCTGACAAATGTAACAAAGTACTAAGCAAACATTATAAATACTGACTTGGATGTTTCACAGATACTTCAAACTCAACATACACCGGAATGAATGTATCATCATTCCTATCATATCTTCTCTTTCTGTTTTCTTATTTCACTACATGAGATCAACATCTGACAGACATAATTTCCTAATCCAGAAATCTAGGATAAAACATTGTATCCTTTTTCTCCTTGGGTACTGTAGACCCCTACACCACGATATAGTTAATCAAATTTACTGGTTCATCAATACCCTTCTCTTGACTCCCAGTGCCACCTTATTTTTGTACCAGCCACATCAACTGTTTTTCTCCCTTGTTATGAAAGTCTCGCTTTTCACACTGCCTTTTTTCAATCTATCCTCCACACTATAACCAGAATATTTCTATAGTAAAAAATTGAACACATCTGTTCCTGTTTAATACCTTTAAATAGCTGATCATTTCCCCAAAGATCAGTTCAAACTCTTGAAAATAACAAATATATCTTCACCTCATCTTTACCAGCTCTCCTCTATATAGACTATTCTAATTTCTCTCTTATTTCTTGGTCTGAAATTCTATCCTAGCCATTTATGTTTCGTTTTCTCCATTCCTCTTCTTCGATAAGCTCTTTACATAGTTAATTCTGTCTCTGTTTATGTCGTACTAATTCTAAAATACTTCTTTGCCACAGCAGATATATTGAGCTTTCCTACCTCTTTGATATCCTAACAGTCTATGCTTACCTCTACTGCAGAACTTTAATACCACCCCTATTAAACAAAGTAATTCTTTGTTTACATGTTTTTGTCTCATTAGACTTGTGGCTCAACGGTGGCAAAGGCTTGCTCACTGTTGTATATTCACTGCTTAACAAAGTTCTAAAATAAACAATGCAGATTAAACAGGTACTGAATTAATTAATGATTAATGAATGAACTAAAAGTGCCTGTGACAAATATCAATAACATTTAATCATAGTCGAAATCCTTGATATGGAAAGAGGGAAAAGCACGCTTTACAAAGGTTTCAGGGACAGATTAGAAGTGAAGCAGTGAGATAAAGAATCTAGACAAACCTTTGATTAGTTAAATTAGAATAGAAAAAATGAAGTTTAATGGAAGGTCCAACAGCAAGTGGGAATAAAAAGTAAGATGCTATTGAGAATTGTAAATATTAAGACAAAACTATCGCATCTCCATTGTAACACATATCTTTCCTGTTCAACACATGTACTGAGCTTGCAAGAGACTATTAATTTCCTTACTATTTCATTCTCTAGGATGGCAGTCTCAAATAAGGAGTGTAATAAATATTATTCTATTCTGAAACAGTGAGAGCCAAAAAATTAATCACACAAGTTTAAAGAGTAGGGCAGACTGGATATTGAATAACAAAGCAAAGCCATTCTTTAGAGTATAATGAAATTATAAGTTAAATCATTGATAAAGATTATACTAAAATCAAAGATAAAACATAAAATCTCTTATCAGAGTTTTAAATTAACCAGTGTCTTTTCAATGTCAGTGAATATTTTTAATACATGAAATAATGTCTTTGAACAAAGAACAAATCCTAACATCTCTTATGTCCATAAATAATTAAATAGTACCTTCTCTGGTAGTAAGTAGTTTCATCCCAGTAAGGCTATTTCTCAGAAAGTCAAGGTTTGGGGAGGAAAATTTGATCTTAAGATTTCTTGTGAACTTTACCTTTGACATTCACTTTTGCCTTTGTTGCTGAAATTGGACTTACATCAAAAGACAATGAACCATTATTGCTGGAAACCTGTTGTGTTTGAGATCCACTAGGAGAGAACAGGAAATGTTCTTTTCTGAGCATTGCTGTGAGGACTCTTAGAACACTTATTGATGTCAGATACAGAACCCTCTTAAATGAATGCATGACATTTGAAACATCACATTCCTTTTTTCTTTAATACTAGAATGCACTTTTACTTCTTACCTTGCTGTACGAAAGATCCATACACAAACCACATGGAGTTATAGAGAGTAGTAGACGTCATTGATCCCATTTGTAACCGTGGGGGGTTAAGCCAGTTCAAGAGGTAGACCAGTAGACCCACCAGAAGGACTGTGCCAGCAATGCAAGCCCAGAGGGAGAGATCAAACGGTGCAAGACAGGCAAACATATCCACTGTCTTTTCAGCCCGTCGAAGTAATACCCCCACTGAGTAGTCCATGTAACGTGTCGTAAAGTCCACCACATTCTCACGATCTGGAGTGATGGTTAATGCAGAAATCCCTATGTCGGCTCTCTGAAAAATTGAAAGAGAAAGGAGTACATTAACAGTGTGAAAAACAATTTCATTTGTGGCACTTCAGCTTGCCTTGAGGGAAAAAAACAGATGCCTCAGGCAATATCTTAAGTCTTTTTATATAAACTGGAAAACACTGCAAAGACTTCTTGCAGAAGAGCTATGTGTGAACTTTGCATTTCTTACTGCAAATCTTGCCCCAGCAGAGTCAGACAAATTGCCTTGTTCATATTATCAGTGCATGTAAAATCAGTTAAGAATATTTCAGACACAGATAATACAGGAAGAAAATTGTCTTTTTTCCTTGGGTTAGTTTATCAAAGCCATCATTAGCACAGTAGTACAGGAAAATTTTATACTAAAGAATTCTTTCTGGGAAAATGTTCCAAAGATATTCAATATGTTTTTAACGGGTAAATTTTTAGGTTGGTTATTTAAAAACTTTAACATGGCATTTTGCCCTTGGTTTAAATTTCTCTGCATCGAAATTTATATTATTGGGCTCTAAATATACTAGTGTTTGTTAGAGCTTTTACTTCACTAAGTTATAATGTCATATGCCAGATGTCTCTACCATGATTGCATTATATAAATTTCAGAAACATTGTAATGAACAATCAAAGATTAAAGAGACAGAATTCTTCCTGGAGTAGTAATCCCTTTTTCCAGTGTGTATTGCACTATATTCCCAGTGATAGCACTTACAACTATGGCATATGCTATTTTACTTATTTAAAACACATAACAGAATTGCAGTACAAATGACTTCACATTTAAATTCTGTGATATAATAATATCTAATATGCTATTTTACTTATTTAAAACACATAACAGAATTGCAGTACAAATGACTTCACATTTAAATTATCTGATATAATAATATCTAATATTGATGTACATTTAGGTTGTTTCCAGTATTTTGCTTTAACAAACAACATGATGACTCACTAAATATTTGAGTGTCTCTTATGCCAGGCTCTATTATATGTGCTATTTATACAAGGAGGTATAACGTCATTGACAACAAGTTCATTGCTCTTCGGCTTTTTAAATTCCTATTTAGGAGAGAGAAAAAATACAAATTCCTACAAATAAATGAAAATATAATTTCAAATAGTAATGTAGCTATAACAACAATGTGATAATGACTAGAGAGGGGAAGAAGTGCTAATTTAGATTGGTTAGTTAGAGAAAGCCTCACAGTAGAAGTAATGTTTGCATTAATATTGATGACAAGAACAACCAACCATGTAGATCTTGTGCAGACTCAGGAAAGTACAAGTGCAAAAATTGCAAGGCTGGGATAAACTCCCTATTCAGGTTTCCTATTGCAGAGGTTCTGAATTTTTCTACAGTCTATGCCTAGAAATGGAATTGCTGGGTCATATGGAAAGGACTTGTACAATTTTCAAGATCCTTTTATATTGTTTTCTAAAATGGTGTTTCCAAATTACATGCCTACCCTGAGGTCCTCATTTCGCCACATTTTACACAACACATATTTAAAATTTTTGTCAATAGGATGTGAAACGTTATTTCAGTGTTATATAAATTTACATTTTACTAATTTTTCTACAGTTTGAACACCTTTTATTTTTGGTAGGTGAGAAAGAGTCATAAAAGTTCTCTCTTCTATAAACTGTCTTTTGATTTTCTTTGCTCATTTCCAATTGGCTTGTCTTATTATTCAGGAGGCATTTGTTTTTTAAATACAGTTTATTGAGATATATTTATATATACTAAAATTCACCTGTTTTAGGCATACAGTTGAATAAGTTTTGACAAATATACACCTATTTAACAAACACCACAACCAAGATATAAAATGTTTCCCTTATGCCGAAACATTTCTTGTATCTATTTGCAATCGATCATGCCTCTCCTCTCTTCCATCCCAGTCTCTGGAAACCACTGATAATTTTGTTTCTCTAGAGACTTTCATCATTTTCCCTTGGGCCCTGACAATCTTCCAATAAAACCTTTGCCACCATTTCCTCTTGATTGACAAATGCCCTCAAGGGTTTGACCTACCTCTATGGGTTTTCTTTTCTTGGGTTTTGGACTAATCCTAGATCCAGCTGGCTTTCTGCTAGGTTTGGCTAATGGGAGGCTAAAGCCCCACTTGGGTAGCACCTCCTTTATGGCTCTAGTTCTCACTGAGCTCCAGTAACACTTTTTAATATTTAGGCAGGCAGTTGATAGCTCTTTCTTAGTTTTTACATTCTGCTTGCACAGAGTCTCAAAATCAATGACAAGCAAGAGCTCAGGGTCTTCTTGGTTCTTGTTTGAGCATGCTCATGTCCATGTACATGACTGTGGCCTTTTAGAATCCCAGGAATATGTTAGAGATTTTCAAAATGCCTGTGGAAATCTCATTCACCTGATTTCCCTTTTCAGCTTTACAGTTAGTCTATTGTTTGCCCCAATAGCTATTGACACCTC